CATATGCAATCTCCTCTTGCCTATATAGCATAACAGAGAAGCACAGCTATAAGCAAGTCATAAAAAGGATGCAGCAGGGGAAAAGAATGAATGATTCAGAACTCCAAAATATCTTCTAAGCTGGCAAGTAAACTAGGGAGGAAAGGATTCCCTTGTCCCTTTGGTGTAACATGGATTATTTCCACATTGCAATAGACTTCCCTCAAGTTCTGATTTAATATGGAGAATTTATAGAAATAATAATAATAATAATAATAATAATAATAATAATAATAATAATAATAATTTGATTATTTCTACCCCGCCCATCCAGCTGGGTCTCCCCAGCCACTCTGGGTGGTTTCCAACAGAAGGTTAAAAATACATTAAAACATCAGTTATTAAAAACTTCCCTAAACAGGGCTGCCTTCAGATGTCTTCTAAATGGCAGATAGTTGTTTATTTCTTTGACATCTGGTGGGAGGGCGTTCCACAGGGAGGGTGCCACTACTGAGAAGGCCCTCTGCCTGGTTTCCTGTAACTTCGCTTCACGCAGTGAGGGAACCGCCAGAAGGCCCTCGGAGCTGGACCTTAGTGTCTGGGCAGAACGATGGGGGTGGAGATGCTCCTTCAGGTATACTGGGCCGAGGCCATTTAGGGCTTTAAAGGTCAGCACCAACACTTTGAATTGCACTCAGAAATGTACTGGGAGCCAATGGAGGTCTTTCAAGACTAGTGTTACGTGGTTTCGGCGGCCGCTCCCAGTCACCAGTCTAGCTGTCACATTCTGGATTAGTTGTAGTTTCTGGGTCACCTTCAAAGGTAGCCCCACGTAGCCCCACGTAGCCCCACGTAGCCCCACGTAGAGCGCATTGCAGTAGTCCAAGTACTTACTTGCACGTTGCAAGTAATCCAATATTGGAATGCCTAATTTGCTGCAGATGGTACTTCCTTTGCATTATCCCTCTCCACATTCTGAAAGTGCATGTGTGCATTGCTAAATTATTGCAAACAAATAAAACAACAAAATACAGTCTAACCGCTGGCTCAATTACATCAAGATTCTTTTTGTACATTGTTGTCACCAATGAGCAAAATTTGCTGCTGCACCTTGAGAAAACGATGTACACAAAGGCACTTGATCCAGCCCCATTAAACTGACCCTATTTCTGTGTGGGGTTTGATACATGTCCACCCTTAAAGGAAGGGTGGGAAAGCTGAGTGAACTAAATGATGTGTAAAAATTGCACATACAACAACACAATATATAATTTGAAATCAATAGAAGAGCAGTGATTAATTCTCATTTTGCTGGAACCTCTTGCAAAACAAGGTGAGTTTACTGGGGACTCAGAAACCCAGAGGAAAAACCCGAGAAGGGATTGTTTCTCAGAGTTGCATGTGGAAGGACCTGGGTTCAGTCCCCAACATCTCCAGGTTGGGCTAGGATAACCATTGTCGGAAACTCTGGAGAGGTGCTGCCAATCAGTGTAGACAACATTGAGCTCGATGGACAGTGGTCAGACTTGATGTAAGGCAGTTTCTTATGTTAAAAAGAACATAGCTCAGTGGCATTACAATGTCCTCATGGAATGAATCTCAGTAGTAGCATCTCAGCATCTTCAGGAGGAGCTGGGAAGGCTGTTGTTATGGAAATACTGGAGAACCATTGCCAATCAGTGTAGTTCAGCCTTCACCAACCTGGTGCCTTACAGATGGACCTCAACTCCCATCAACTCAGTTGGGCACAATCATTCCAGCTGGGGCAAATGTGAGTTGAAATCCATAACACCTGGAAAGGATTAGGTTGCAGCAGATTGCTTTGGACCGATGGTCCCATTTAGTATAAAGCAGCATCTTATGACCCTTCCTAAATTTTGGGTATGTTGTGGGGGCATCCCTCATGTCAAGACATTGCATGCACCAATATTGAATGTGTTTTGACCCAAATGAATGTGTGTGTGTGTGTGTGTGTGTGTGTGTTCAGTTCCATATACATGATTGAAAGTGGAATGAGTTGGCTTGTTAACCCTAAATCATAACATACTGGAGACTACCTTAGCAGAACACGCACAATGAAAACCTTGCATTCTGAAAGCTTTCTAAGTATGTTTCTGGCAAAAGTGATTGATCTATGTTGACTTGTTTGCTATTTAGATGCAACACGTCCTCCTTGGTTTTAATATTATGTGGAGGAGCTTGCCATCACCCAAAACGGTACAATCACTTCTGTGAGAAACAGTTTTGACTATACAAAATACAGATGCAGATGATGCTTTCTGGAACGAGATATGAGCTTTGCATGCTTAGAATCCTCACCTCAAAGAAAATAAGGTTCCATAATTCTTAATTGAAATCTGAGCCAGAGAATAACCCAACCAGCCACTCCAATCTCAATCCACTTCCATTTAAACAAAACTTAGCAGCCAATGCAATGGTGGTCCTCTAACCACACAAAGAGAGGGTTCTGCAGTCCTCATCCTCTTTCATTGGTAGCAGGACAGGAATATAGGCTGTGATGGCCTTTTGTTACAGTTTCCCATTTGGGGACAGCGGGGGAGTTTATTTTCTGCACCATCTGAACCTGAGACAGGCAAGAGATGATAGGAGTATCATTAAGTCTTCAAGTCTATTGGGAAGTTAGGGAACCTCTGGACTTGGGAGCTGCTGGTTTACAAGATATTTCTTCTACTTTTTGCATTAAGCACTACATAGCTAAAGGGTCAGATATTAAGAGATTACTCTAATGGTTTTTAATTAAAACTCATTGTCAATTTAGTTGGTTTCAGATTTGCATCATGCTAACCTAAGGGCAAGTTGCAACATCTTGCAGTACTGCTTAAGATGATCGCCCCATCCTGAAGACTAATGGCCAATTAAATTAGGGTTGTTCACTTAGAAGGGAAACTCATTGTTTTCAGCAGGGCTTGCTTTTGAGTAATGACGCTTTGTTCAGGCTTTGAGCAGCCAACTCCCTTGATTTTCTTTCCAAAGTGTTCCATCCCTGCTTCCCACACAAATTTCCCTGTGATCATAACTACCACCTGAAAAGGTCTTCTTCATCAATCCTTTTACAAAACAAATGACTAAATAATGAAACCTGGACAAATCCACTCCCATGGCACTAATTCAGAAGATATTTCATCTGACCCCAGTTCAAGAACCACTAAACGCAGGGACTTTGTCTAAGGAACTTCTTTTCTGGATTATCAGACCAAAAGTCTGTCAGATCCCTAAGGACATAAGAAAAGCCTGCTGGAGCAGGCCAGTGGCCCATCTAGTCCATCACCCTGTCCACACAGTGGACAACCAGACACCTGTGGGACCCACAAGTGAGTTTTGAACACATCACCACTCTCCCCTCCTGTGGTTTCCAGCAACTGATATTCAGATGCATTATTGCCTCTGACCATGAAGGAAGAGCAAACACATCATGATTAGTAGCCATTGGTAACCTTATCCTCTATTATTTCTTCCCATCCACTTTTAAAGCCTTCCAAGTTGGTGGCCATCATGGTGTCCCGCAGGAGTGACCTCCATAGTTTTAACTATTTGCTGTGTGAAGAAGCATTTTCTACTAACGCTTAGCTTCATTGGACAGTCATGAGTTTTACTGTTATGAGAAAGGGGCAGAAAGCTCTGTCTTATCCACTTTCTCCATGCCATGTATAATTTTATAAATTTCCATCATGTCACCTCTTAGTCACATTTTCTCTAAACTAAGAAGTCCCAAATGCTACAACCTGTCCTCAAAGGACAAACCTGTCCTTCATCCCCTGGATCATTTTGGTTGCACTTTCAAGAAGCTTCTCCAGCTCTACAAATATCCCTTTTGATATGTAAACTATCCTTCCTGAGCTGAGGTGCCCAGAACTGGACATAGTATTCCAAATGTGGCCACAGCATAGATTTGTATAACCTTCTGGATTATCAGGCCAAAGGTCCACCAGACCCAACGTCCTGTTTCCTACAGTTGGCCAATCAGAAACCCCCAAGAAGGGCATGGGCATTATAGTCTTCACAGGCTGCTTTCTGCCAATGACAGTTGCACTGTTAGATACTGCCATGAAGCATTAAGGTCTAAAGCAATGTTCATCGGTCCACTGATGTTGTTGGGCAACTCCCATCATTCTTGACCATTTGCTAAACCAGTTGGAGATGATGTGAGCTATGGCCCAAGAACCTCTGGGGACTGAAGGTTAAAGAACCCTGTTCCAAAGTGACTTCATGACCAACATGTTAGACTGCTCCTAATTTCCTTAATATGTGACCTGAGTAAACTATGCCAGCTGGGCAATTGGCAGGTAATTGCTTCTACAATAGAATGTATTCTAGTTGCTGGGTATCATAAATGGGCAGAGTGCTGTTGCAGTGGTTGTGGGCCACTGTGAGAACAGGAGGTTGGTTTAAATGGGCCTTTGGCTTGATCCAGCAGTCAGGTTCTTTTTTTTTTATTATCGGTAACAATGAGGGGCTCTTGCATTCATGCCCTGCTCACGGGCATCCTGGAGGAATTTAATTGGCCACTGTGAGAACAGGATGTTGGGCTAGATGGTCTTTAGGGTTCTTCTGATGTTCTTACAAATGTCACCTTCCAGCAGCCCATGCAGCCAGCAGAGTCAGGGCTTATGGGAGTTGCAATCTAGAACCATTGAATTAAGGGAGGAGAAGGATATCAATGGCTTCTAGCCACAATGACTGTGTTTACTCTCCACTGCCAAAGGCACAATATCACTAAATATCAGTTTATGGGAACTACAAGTGGGGAGAGTGGCTACTTGTGGGCTTTCTGTAGGCATCCGGTTGGCCAATGTGAAAAGAGGACTCAATGGGTCATTGGACTGATCCAGCTGTGGGACGCTTCTGTTCATGGACACCTTTGTGAGCTGCAGCAGAGGGCATGACTTTATCAACCTCTCTATTAATCTGTAGGGATTTGGAATGAGTTTGTTGAATTAAATGTTGCATACCACATTGATCTCTCGTTGTGCTCTTTCAGAAACAGCTCTCACCCTGCAAAGATGTCCGTCGGAGGCGGTGGAAACATGTGCTATGCCAGCTGTCCTGCATCCACAGTGACTATACAGCCACCACCCTTCGTCCTAAATATCCCAGGACCAGCGCTCTACTGCCCTGACCAAAACTTTGGCATTGAGCAATACAACCCATGCGCAGGCTATGGCGGTGGATATGGAGGCAGCGGAGGAATGGGGGGCCGTGCTATTGGTAGCGGAAGCGGCATGGGCATAGGTGGTGGTATGGGTGGAGGAGGAGGTTATGGAGGCCTTGGTGGTGCAGGTGGTTATGGGGGTGGAAGTATGGGAGGCCGTGGGCTTGGTGGTTTAGGTTCAGGTGGCAGTCTGGGCGGTGGAGGAGGTTATGGGGGCATTGGTGGTGGTTATGGGGGTGGAAGTATGGGGGGCCGTGGTGGGGGTGGTTTAGGTGGAGGTAGCTTGGGTGGTTTAGGTGGGGGTAGCATGGGTGGTAGTGGTGGCATTGGTGGATCTGGTGGACGTCGAGGCAGCATAGGTGGTGGCACCGGGGGCGGACGTAGAGGCAGCATAGGTGGTGGCACCGGGGGCGGACGTAGAGGCAGCATAGGTGGTGGCAGCGGGGGAGGACGTAGAGGCAGCATAGGTGGTGGCAGTGTGAGTGGACGTAGAGGCAGCATAGGTGGTGGCAGTGTGGGTGGACGTAGAGGCAGCATAGGTGGTGGCAGCATGGGTGGCGGTCTTGGTGGATCTGGAGGTAGTGTTGGTGGTGGCACTGGTGGAATTGGAGGCAGTATGGGTGGTGGAGGAGGAGGACGCCGAATCAGCGGGGGACGCCGATACAGTGGCAGTGGTGGCTACAGCAGTGGCGGATATGGTGGAAGTGGTGGCTACAGCAGTGGCGGATATGGTGGAAGTGGTGGCTACAGCAGTGGCGGATATGGTGGAAGTGGCGGATACAGCAGTGGCGGATATGGTGGAAGTGGTGGATACGGAAGTGGCGGATATGGTGGAAGTGGGGGATATGGCAGTGGCGGATATGGTGGAAGTGGCGGATATGGTGGCAGTGGTGGATACGGCAGTGGTGGATATGGTGGAAGTTGCGGATATGGCATGGGCGGATATGGCAGTGGTGGATACGGTAGCGGTGGATATGGTGGCAGAAGTTATGGCACCAGAAGGATTATATACTCTGGAGGCCGCAGAAGCGGATATGGTGGAGGCGGCTACAGCAGCAGGTCTTATGGCGGCTCCTATGGTGGAAGCTTGGCGCTGCTGCCTAGTACCGCATGCTACACCTGCTACTGAACCCAGAGGAAACAACCCAGAGCTCACGGGACAACCGCAGAAACAAAAGAAGATGAACCCAAAGCTTGAACTTGCAGGAGTGGACTTGGGGAAACCCTTCGCCTTCTGTCGCCTGCTGATGCAAGCTCCTTGAACTGAATGATCAGCGAATCCACACTTGAACTCTGTGTGCATTTTTGTTTCCACAATTGCACACAAGAAGAAATAACTCGCAGTAATATCCTTTCCAGGCTATGTTGCTTTCTACAGACTTCACGAGTATGACTTGAAGCGGGTGGGGGAGAGCATATAAGCCCACCCCTTTTCTCCGCTCTGACGATGAACAACCCACAACTGTGCACTTGCATGTCCTTTCTGAAGAGATTCTCGAATGCCTTGAACTGTAACCACTGAAGCATTGTGAAACCTCTGTTTCCACAACCAATGAAGCAATAGTGCAGATTGAAAAATCAATTGCATTCTAATTTATCACCCTTTTCCCTGCCGAAAAAAAATACTGCTGTTTCTTCATTTCCTATGTCATTAAAGCTTTTTTTTGCATCATAAAATTTTCCCTCCTGTCTAGTTTGTATTCCCCTCATACTTCAAAATAGGCATGTTGGGCTGACACACAAATAAGGAACGAAATGATTCAAGGGCACCCAAATGAGGATTCCACTTGAGAGTGATTTTGCACCCAGTTCAATTCAAGCTGGTCTGTAAAAAACAATTCCAGCCATTACCACATGGGGGCCTATTCACAAGGTATGCTGGAACCTTCCAGGTAAACTGAGTCACAGGATCTTTCTGCATTTTATTCCCCTTTAGAGGAGGAAGTTAGTGGGTTAAAGATCATTAGCTGAACAAAAAAATCTTGATTTAAAATGAATTGCATGAGTTTATTTCAGAGAACCACAGAGTTCCACAAATCCCCTCCAAACACCCATGGCAATCTGAGCAAACAGCAGTTAGCTAGGGCACACTGAATGCAAGAGTGGAAGGTATCCAACCTCCTTCCTTATGAAGGAAATCCAGACCTTAAAAGATGGCAGTCCAGCTTCTGCTTGGAGACCTAGAGTGAAGAACCCATCCACCCTCAGAAGGTCATGGATCACATACCTGTTGTAGACCAGACTGAGCTGGATGGACCAGCAGACTTTGCCTCCAGAACGTTTTTGAGATGTTTGTTCCATTCTCTTTTAAGGAAAAGGGGACTGAGTTAAAAAGTTGCAGGAATTTATTTATTTTTGCATGCAGAGGGTCCCAAGGTTCCAAGATGGAGCAGCAAAATTACACAAAATTACAAGTGCATTTTCGATTGTACAATTGACACAGATGTACAGTGGACCCTCAGAAGTCGAACAGAATCCATTCTGGAAGTCCATTCGACTTCCAAAATGTTCGGAAACCAAGGTGCAGCTTCTGATATGTTGCAGGAAACTCCTGCAGCCAATCGGAAGCCACAGAAGCCCCTTTGGATGTTTGGGTTCCAAAGGAAGTTTGCAAACCGGAACACTCACTTCTGGGTTTGCGGCATTCGGGAGCCAAAACATTTGACTTTCAAGGCATTCGAGATCCAAAGTACGACTGTGCAGTAAATCTTCATCATAGTTATTTTAGTGCATTGGCGCCTAGGGGGAGGACTATGATTCAGTGCTAGGGCATCTGATTTGCATACAGAAGTTACTGGATGGCATTTCCAGGTAGGGCTGGGAAAGTCCCCTCCCTGCATTCCCTGAGAGCTGCTGCCAGTCACTGACAACTGAACTGGCCAGACCCATGTTCTGATTTCATATAAGACAGATTCCTATATACCTGCATAAAGGTAAAGGTAAAAGGACCCCTGACAGCTAGGTTCAGTCGTGACCGACTCTAGGGTTGCAGTGCTCATCTCGCTTTATTGGCCAAGGGAGCTGGCGTACAGCTTCCAGGTCATGTGGCCAGCATGACTAAGCCGCTTCTGGTGAACCAGAACACCGCACAGAAATGCTGTTTACCTACCCGCCAGAGCGGTGCCTATTTATCTACTTGCACTTTGACGTGCTTTCGAACTGCTAGGTTGGCAGGAGCAGGGACCGAGCAATGAGAGCTCACCCCATCACGGGTATTCAAACTGCTGACCTTCCGATCAGCAAGCCCTAGGCTCAGTGGTTTAGACCACAGCTCCACCCATGTCCCTTATATACCTGCATAGGAACCGTTTATAGTTCTCCACCTGTATATCAGATTGGAGAAGACTGATTTGTTGTTAGGGCAGTAAACAATCACAGGTGCTTAAAAAAAAGTTTTTGCCTGGTGCCTAAAGATATACAGTGGTACCTCCGGTTACAGACGCTTCAGGTTACAGGCGCTTCAGGTTACAAACTCCGCTAACCCAGAAATAGTACCTCAGGTTAAGAACTTTGCTTCACGATGAGAACAGAAATTGTGTGTGGCCGCGGGAGGCCCCATTAGCTGAAGTGGTACCTCAGCTTAAGAATAGTTTCAGGTTAATAATGGACCTCCAGAACAAATTAAGTTCTTAACCCGAGGTTCCACTGTATAATGATGGCACCAGGCGAGTCTCCCTGGAGAGAGCATTCTGCAAATGGGGATGTATCTATGTATTCTCATCTATTTTTTAATGAATCTATATGCTGCTGTTCACAAGTTTAGTATCCTCCCACACCAGCTCACAACACATGAGGCAAAACAGAAAATGGCACCTGCCATTGTTGCTGCCACCACCTCCACCGGAGGTGCTGGAGGTGACCAAGGGAAGTCTTGGAGCACTGAAGCTGGGGGAGAGAAGGAAGGCAAGTGGGTGTGACTTGGAGAGCCTCCAAGAAGCCAACTAGAGAGCCTTGAAGGGCCGCATTCAGCTCCTGAGCCCGAGGCTCCCCATCCCTGCCCTAGGAATTTTCAAACAAAAATGGATCAAGGGAAGCAGGGTTTGTGGTGTTCTTCTTCTGACACAAAGAACGTCGATTCATATCTGGGTCTGGAGAGCACTGCTGTGCTCGGTTTCTGCTTGCAGGCTTTCTAGAAGAGAGATCTGGTTGGCCACTCTGAGAACAGAAGGCTGGACTAGACAGGCCTTTGGGCCTGATCCTGCAGCTAGGCTCTTTTTACTGGACCTCCAGGTCCAGAGGCGGTCTGTCTAGGTTCCTAGACACTTTGGGGCATTTGGTCATGGAGAACAGGAAGTTGATCTAAGTGGGCCTTTGGCTTGACCCAACAGACAGGCTCTTCTTATGATCTCAACTTATTTCCATACTCTCAACAGCCATACTTTCTGCTGCTGCATCTACATGCTGCAACCACATGGTGGCACTATTAAGAAGCAATATTAACCACTTTCATCATGCTCTGGGATGCCGATAATGACCTTTGTCTTAGCTATGAGGAGCTTGGGATCACTTCGACAAATATTAGTCTCCACCAGTGACTCAGTTCACGGCCCTCCCTTGCCCCAGCCCTAGAAGCAGGCACACCTCACAAGGACAAATACGGTGTCAAGAGATGCAATATGATTAATATATTTTGAAACAAATGGACAAAAATGTTTTGAAACTGAAAGTCGGCTTTCTACACATCGTTCCATTTATGTGCGGAAATCAAAGAGGACAGACCATGCGTCTGTTGTGGGGGTGTCATTGACCAACGGCAGGCAAGCAAAAGGATGGGTGTTCGCTGAGGGACAGGACCAACTGATCTAGCAGGCTTCACTTGGGTCTGCTCCTCAAGTATATAGAGGTCCTCCTCCTTCTGTCGTGTGCAGTTCCTCATTGGATGTCCCACTGACCCTCCCCTTTTAGCCTAATGTTATATTTAATGAATGAACTTGTTGTGGACAAAGTTGGTCGTTGTATTCTGAGCCAGGCAGGAATTTTCCCTCAGACTAATTGGCCCTGTCTGGGGGCTTTGCCTACCTTATAGCAATTGTCACAACTTGGCCAGTTTAGGCATTAGGTTGGCCTTAGTCTTGGTGGAGGGGAGGTTGTAAGCCTCTGCCTGCCCCTCCAAGGACAGGTGTAGACTTTTAAAGGGATCCAGAAGGAATCCCTGGTTGTCCAGGCAACCAGGTGGGGGCTATGGCCATAGCATTCCTCAAGGCAGCGATCAAGTCTATTTGAAGTAAGTCAAATGTCCTCCACGACTCTGGTCTAAACCCTACTTCCAGCAGGTGGGCTGGTTGTTAATGGTTGTTATACCCAATGCCTATGCCAAACCTCTCACATGGTGTGAGAGCTAGTGCAGTGTAGTGGTTAAGAGCGGTAGTCTCGTAATCTGGGGAACCAGGTTCATGTCTCCGTTCCTCCACATGCAGCTGCTGGGTGACCTTGGGCCAGTCACACTTCTCTGAAGTCTCTCAGCCCCACTCACCTCACAGAGTGTTTGTTGTGGGGGAGGAAGGGAAAGGAGAATGTTAGCCGCTTTGAGACTCCTTCGGGTAGTGATAAAGCAGGATATCAAATCCAAACTCTTCTTCTCTTCTTCTTCACATCTGTAATCAATAAAAGCTGTGGCCTTATTTGACCCAAAATGCAATGTGTCTTGCTAGGTTATTATGCTCAAAGCCGGGGGTCATGGTGCCTGGGCACACAATCAGACACTGACTTTACCTGTTTCAAGATAAATGGATGAATGCAGTAATGCTTCTGAATACCAGCTGCTGAAAACCACAGGAGGGGAGAATGTTCTTGTGCTCAGATCCTGGACTAGTTGGGCCATTGTCCTGAACCAGCAGCCTCTTCTTATATCCTTATTCCACCTAGCAAATGTGCAGGTGGGTGGAAGATCTGCCTCTGGAAGCTGGCAAAAGCCCCCAAATAGGGTATTCTGGGGGCAGGAGGAGGTGGAGGCTGAACTTTCCTAGGATCTACTCTTGGGCAAAAGCTTTCTGCATTGCAGAGGGTTGGATTAGATGATCCGTGTGGTCCCTTTCAGCACTAAGTTTCTATGATTCTATAACAGTCGTACCTTGGTTCCCGAACGGCTTAGTTGTCAAACAAATCATCTCCCAAATGCCCCAAACCCAG